ATGATTGTTATCTTTTATTTTTTATTTTTGAATCAATCGGAGGAAAGAAACCTCACAATACAAACCTAACCCAAAAGGTAGAAACTACATGGTTGGGAACCCCAAGCAATTATCCAAAGTCCAAATGATTGTTGGGTGTGTTTCGTTCGTGCAAGAAAATCGGAATCACAATGAGAATTTAATATTTGATAATGATAATGAGTTGTGGTGAATGTATTTTGTATATTTAGTAGTAAAGTGAAATTGCAACATTTTTACATGTCTAAATAATCGTGGTGAGTTCTATTAAATAACATAAATGTAATATTTTTCAGTGTACAAAATAAAAATAGTTATGAAAGAAGTGGTTGATGAATGGAGCAAGTTCAATCCATCACTTAAGGTCTTTTTAGTGCAATTTATCCTTCTGATGTGGTTTATGAGTTTCCCTCGAGATTCAAAAAAAAAAAAAAAAAAAAAAAAAGACTAGATAAAAATAGAAAATATTTAGTTCAAACTTCCCATAGTCAAAAGCAAAAATTTCTTTTATGGAAGAGTTCTATTACATGAATTCCCAAATTATACTCCCTCATTTGTACTCCCTAAGGTGGCAAACCAGGATTGGTTATTTTCAACATGTGGGTCCACAGAAAAGTGTCTACATCAAAAACATATGAGAGGGAGTACAAGTTGAGAGTATAAAATGGGAGTACACCAAGTATTTTCCTTTATGGAAGGTATAGAAGCTCCCTATTACGATCATAGATGACGAAAATGCCCTCATGCCACAAATCTCTTGAAACATGGAAATCCTGTAATCTTATCCTCTACACTCTCAAACTGCCACAACACCAAATTCTTTGCCACCAAAATAACAGAAAATAAACTAAGGCAAGACAAAAGATCAACCAAAAAAACTTCAAAAAATCAAAAAAAGATGGCAACTTTCTGTCTCTCAAATGCAAAATCCTTCCTCCCTTCACTCCAATCCTCTTTCCCATCTTCCCCTTCATCATCTTCACCATTATCAATTCATACCCAGAAGCCCAATTCAAGGAGACAGCTCATATGGTGCAAAGCTGTGAATGAATCGCATTTTCCCCCTCCAATTCTCATCTCCAAGAGAAGCCTGTACCTTAGCCTCACCACCACTTTGCTGCTCTCCTTGAGTGGCAGCCATGGCTGCTTTGATGCCAATGCTGCAATTCTTGAGGCTGATGATGATGAGGACTTGTTGCAGAAGGTGAAGCAGGACAGGAAGAAGAGGCTTGAGAGACAAGGGCTTATCAATTCCTCTGGTAAAGAGAGAGGTGAGAGTTCTTTCTTTTAAGGAAGATAAAGAGTAAACCCAAGAAAATGCATAGTTCATATGGAATTATGGAGATTTTGTTGTTTATACTAAGTTCTTGTTTGGATTTCAATAATTTCTTTTGTGGGTACAAATGCTGTAAGTCTGGGCTTGAATGTAGTAGATGTTTAGAAGGATAAACAAAATAACTTAAATGTCTTGTCTTAATTCATCTTAGTAATAGTTTAAACATTTAACCCAAGTGCAATGCTTAATTTGTAGTAGAATGTAGAAAAAAAAAATTGAACTTCTGATTGAGGTTTCAAGTTGGTTGCTGCAAATTTCTTGATTACTTGATTTCTGACCCTTTTAACCATGAAATGTTTGGCTAAGAATTTGAAAGTTTAGATTTTATCTGAGGAATGATGTATCCAATCAACATTTTACATTGTTCTCTCTCTCAGTATATGTTGGAAATGGTAAATAGTTCTTTCACTTCTTTGTTTTACTTTCCCTGATTGCTGCTGTATTATAAGCTAGGATTTCTAGTGTAAAGGCTATGAACAAAAGCACTTAGAATTTATGGTGGTTTGAGAAAATAAATTCACGCAAAGGGAACTCTTTGAAATTGCAATGATTTAGTTAACTTTGTAATTAGAAGACACCATGGCCAAAGGCCTTGTGGTCGAGCAGCATAACTGTGGCTATTTGAACCCCAGTGGGGGCATTGACTCTTTGTGCTTTAGTAGGTTGAGAAAGTATGTATGGACATATACTACAATGTAACAGAGTCAGTAGTACTCAAAAAAAAAAAAAAAAAAAAAAAGACACCATGAAAGAAACGAGACTATTTGTAGTAGTAGTAGTAGGAGGAGGGAAGCAATTTTGACACCCTGCTTGAATAAGGATTGGTTTAAGCACTATGATCTTTTAGTATAGGTTTGAAGAAATGATCTTCATTTTCTCTTTTTCGATGTTGTTGATATGTGCCCTCAATCTGGTGTAGAGGAACATTAGCTGCAAACTCCTAATTGATTGATTCTGGTCTAATATATGATCATATTAAACCAATGGAACCAGATTTAGAATGTTGTTCAAGAATATACTTCTTTCTCATTTTCAACATTGATCATATTTATGTCCTTTCTTCTATTGGAATATTAGCTGCTGATTCCTAATTGGTCGATTTGGTTTTCTGTATAGCTGATTAGCAGGATCTATGTTAATGTGTTTTTAGAAATGATACTGGAATTCATCTGATATTGCTAACTAGTTATGCAGGATACCTGCAAGATCTTGTCTACAAGCTGAGCAAAGTTGGCCAAGCCATTGAGAAAAATGATCTCCCAGCTGCAAGTGGTGTTCTCGGTCAAAATGTCGAGACAGATTGGGTTAAAAATGTTAATTCAGCCTTAACCAAGGTCTCTAGATCAATCACATTCTCGTTTCTTGCATGTGCTTCAAACTTTTTGCTGTCCTCTTGCTCTATCGAAAACAAGTCTTTCGGATTTTAGTTTCTTGTCCTTTTTTCTCCGAGGAATTTCTCACTTTTAAATGTTACTTTTCTCCAACAGTTCAGCATCAGCCCTGAGGAGAAGAGTGAGGTAGATGCTTTCAACTCATCGTTGGCTTCTCTAATTTCATCGGGTATGATGATTTCTTAAGACTATATTACGGGCATTTAGCATAAAGAGGCTTTAGTAACACGCAATATGATTTTCTGCAGTCATAAAGAACGACGTTGAAGCATCAAGAACATCGTTTGTAGCATCAGCAACTGCATTTGAGAAGTGGACAACCTTAACAGGTCTGGTTGGAGAGCTTAAAGGACTCTGAAGGGAAAAAGGAATGCTCATTTAGTATATCTAATGCGCCGAAGGCCATGGCTGACTCCAATTTTCCACTCGGATTTACTACATTGAGCTATGCATAGAATTAGTCTGCAGACAACAATGTTCAATGATCAGATTCTTGTTTACTACAGCTGAGTTTATCAGTATATTGTGTACCTCATTGTTTATCAAGGATATGGAGTAAATATTCTTTTGTTTTGAACTGAATATTCATTGTATTTCAAGTAAATATCCATCACAAAAGGCTCCCAAGAATGAGAATTCAAGAGTGGATCATGGAAGGTTAATGCAGCATCATTTTGGACACCCTGAATTCTGCTATAAGAAATGTATGATGACAAGGGAGCAACCTAACCAAGTTGGTCAGACTGTTGAATTGGTAATCATGAGATTTCAAATTCGACTTTTAGTAAGAACGGCCTATTGGCTTTCTTGATTTGACCTGGTTATATCGTGGACCAGGGTTCACAGTGGACCCTAGTCCACTACATAGAATTTGACTTCATAAGGTACATAATTTATGTTCATAATGCACAAAATTCATGTTCATTATATCGTGTTTATGTATGTGAATTATGAACATGAATTCTGTGCATTATGAACATGAATTCTGTGTTGGACCAGGGTTCACAGTGCGACCCTCCATGATATAACGATTGAGCTTAAGCTGGTTTATTTCCTTGTGGTCCTTTGCCAGCTAGGGTAATAAGGCAGGATTTACCCAGTGCACACCCTCAAACAGTGACTATGGGTTCCCCTCGTCATCGAAAAGAAAATGTATGACAAGATTCAGTAGGGCCATCTATTAACTTGTTTAGTTTTACATAATGAGTTCAGACATCATTTCTGCAACTTACAGGTCCCAGAGCATAACACAAGTTCTTTTACAACAACAAAGACACAATGTTAAGGACATATTCTATAGTTTCACATAAAGGCCTAAAGGGATTTCATGAACACTCAGACTATGTATCATTAACAACAACACTAGAATCATCACAAGTGTTATGGCTATGAAAAACTCAAATAGGTGCTCATGGACTGCATCTTTTGTGCTCCAGTGCGCCTAAGCACTACATATTTCACTTCCTGAACCATCATGAGCTTCTTGAAGTGAAATTTTGCGATGTTTAGGTGCTCTGGAGCACAACTTCCATGAGTGTTAATAGTTTATCGTGAAGGTCACCAACCAAAAAGACAACCAACTATTCCCTCGCTTGCTTCATTGTTCATCAAATTACTTTGTTCCTCCGCCTTTTTGGTTGTCTCACAAGTTTCCTGTTCGTGTTTCTCCTCTAACTCCTCGTGCTTGTTTTGATCAGCAGCACACGCCAATTTGTCGTTTTCCAATGTAGCATCATCCTCCTTGGCAACCTGAGCAGCGTTCTCGTCCTTCTGAGTTTCTTTAGCAACATCAGCTGCTTTCTCAACCTCGGCCATTTCTGCATTTCCCCAAGAATTGTTCACTTCGGGAGCATTTCCTTGTAAACCATCAACAATTTGGGTTTCGTTTTTCTCATCATCTGCATTACTCTTCAATACATCATTCTTAGATTCATCCTCCTTCTCAACATTGTTCTTGAGGTCTACATTTTCAGCAGCAACTTCAATTTCATCTTTTTTCTCGTCCTTCTCTCCCTCAACATCTTTTCCAGCAATTGCACCTGGAGGACCCTCGGGTTTCTCTTCAGCTTCGTTCTCATTGCCACCCGACTTCAATTTCCTACCTCGTTTTTTAGGAGGTTCACTGTCAGGAGGAGGAGGCGGAGCTGACTTCACCTTCCCACTGATTCTCGCGGATCTCCTAGGAGTTTCACCAGTTGCCCAGTCAAATTCAGATAACGGTGGACCACCGGGGTGTGATTTCAGATACTGTTTTAACTGGTTTCTGCTAGTGATCTCTTCCCCGGTAGGCGCAGTAAAAGTTATTTCACATTTCTTTGAAGCCCCTCCCTTTTTGTTTTTGAGCTGCATAAACAAGGAAGGATAAAAAAAGAGTGAAAAGATACATCATAACTGAATAGAAAAATCCAAACAGTCATATATAGTTAGAATACAAGAGCAAACAACACAATTAAACACTATAAGTTTACATAACATACTGCACAAATCAAAGTAACGCTAAGTATGATTGTGCCCAAAGCACATTTTTGGATTATGTTTCTGTAGGAGCACTCTATTAGTGCACATTGGCAAAACAGACCATTATGTTAGCGAGTATACCAAGATCAATATCGAGCTCGAATATGAAGAATGCATTATATATTTCCCTCTTTCCTCAATTACAGAAGCATTTAAACAATGCCCGAAGAAGTATACGAGATTACAGATTAAAATGTGCACCACAAGGCGGAATTGCATGTTAGCAAGTCTCAATAACTAAAAGCACCTAAAGGGCACGTAGAAATGATATCCTTAACCTTAGTGCGGAAATCCTAAACCTTCCAGCCAATTCTGAAACACGGAACACAGCTAGGAAAAGAACAATCATCAAAAGGTGACACTCAAAGATTATGGTTGGTTCCATTAAACAATAAAAGGCACGCATTTGATAAAAAAAAAAAAAATAGCAAGTGATGAATTTCAAGGTTATTGTGAGATCATGGGAGTGCAAAGAAGTCCATACCTATTTGGGAGGCTGACTCACCAGCAGATGAAAATGCTCATTTGGGACACCAGGAGAATTCCACTTATTGAGCTTGATTGGGCACCAAATAGTATAAGCAATGGTTGAAGAAGATAGGAACACCTTCACAAAGGGACTTTAGGCCTTTTGGTCACCATGCATTAAATAAATCAAAGAGGAAGAAAGAGTGCATTCTGCGAGGACGTCAATGTTTTGAAAGTATGCTTTCAAAAGCTTAATTTGAATGAATTATCAAAATTTGGTACAAAAAGGGGTTGGTTGCAATGAATCTAAAAAGAGGTTCCAGTGCTGGGTTTTGTAATAAATAAAGCAGTCGAGAAAATATTAAATGCAAATGCAACATCCTTTAAGAGCAGAATTAACCTATTCTGCCCCCACGGGCTTAGCTCACTGGTTCAGTATGCAATATTTGGGAGAAGAGACTAAGGTTTGAACCTCGGCAGCGGTAGTGTGGGGATTATGCCCAAAGTGGGCAGATCCCTCGTGCGCACCGGCATTTGACCCTCTCTGCTGACCCATTGAGTCACCGTGATTTACATCCTCCCAAATGCTCTGTCGGGTCGGGGTGTATGGGGCCCTTGGGGTTGGGGATTCCAACCTTTTGGGAGAGGAGAAGAATTAACCTATTCTAGGAAATTGCAAACAATATCATGACCCAGAATGCAGAGAAAATAAGAAACTTTTTTTAAACAGCCATGGCACTCAGCAATGACGTAAATGTTTGTTCCTTGTAACAGGGATGAAAAAGGGACTGTGGAAAGATTTACTAAAATGCGCCTGTTACAGTTTTTAGCTGCAAATTTACCCTTTTCACATACCTAAGATGAAATTTCATCTTCTCTTGTTGGTTTCGGTAGCTGCCTTAGGTTATGGGAAACTCATATATTTTCAGCTTAATAGTAGTAGTCAACAATAAAATAGGAAGAGAGCAGAGAATAATATGTATTATGGATACTTAGTTAACTTTCCATTTCACCAGAAGAATTTGTCCACAACCATCACTTATTCAAACTCGCTTTCTAACAAAATTCACTTCCTTATTGGTCCAGCACAAGGCAATCTTATCATATCATCATATCCATATTCTTTTATTCACACATTATTTGCATGCAAGAAAGCAGCATTCTGTTGACCCTAGACTTAAACCCGATGTATTTTAGTTGTTTGTCATCATCTCACTTTGTTATATAGACTATCCTGCAAATCAAGAAATGAATAACAAATATGGATGGCAATGTATTGTGGGGTTTTGCAGTGCTCCAATATATAGCCAAAACATTGTTGTTAGACTTCGACTACAGAGTCAGAAACTTCTACCACAGCCAATGTTCATAAACTGCCCAGTTTCCAAATATGTCAACAGATTACTCTTTATAGAAGCATTTCATAAATATGCCAACAGATTAATCTATATAGTTCTTTGGATGGCACCAAATTTGGTCGTTTTTAAGATATATAATCGCCTCAGCTGATTCAATACTGCAATGACAAATGTATAGAGCAAGTATAGAATGTTATGCCTTGGCTTTTAAGTTTTAAACTACCTCAGTAACTCCACATAGTTCTATATCAACAGAAGGAGCACACAGTTGCCAGTAAAAATATAATGACAAATTAACTAATAGAAAAGAAGTCGGTGAGCTCAACTTAATTTGAAAACTGTCAGATGAAATCAAGCATCCATTTCATCGAAAGTACTAAACTCGTAAAACAGTTGTGATGTTGTGCACTCAGAGGCAAACATGAATTGAAATATCCATCACATCTAACTCAACTATTCAAAAATGAAAATTAGCCATCTCATTATCCATGGTGGATATGTGAATATTTGCATTAGAGCTCGAGTCGAGAACATTTTAGTTCATGATCATAAAAACTCTTATATGCAGCAATTTGAGCATGAAGTATAGTACAATAACTGAGCAACAATTGAGTCTCCAAACCTCCATTAAGGGAACTATGTAACTCTTGACCTCACCTTCAAAATCTCCTTTTCTCACAACATAACCAAACCAAAACTAAAAATTATTTTTTATAAAAACCCTGAAAACTTCAAAATTACATAAAATTAAAGACTACCCAATATCTAATTCCCAAGACCCAAAACCAAAAATTCAAACTTGCAAAATTCTAGAAAATTAGACTTCAAGAAAGAACAATCTAAGCTCAAAACTATAGAATTACACTATGCCAAGAACTTATTTTACCCAGTTACTACAAATCAAGCTAATACTACACTAAACTCTTCCAAAATTAATCAAAGTTTTCACACATGAGCAAGAAAAAGTGAAAGCTTAAGAAAATTGTCAAAAAAAGAAAGGGAAAAAGGGGGAAAAGTTACCATTTTTTTCCATCCAGGAGGAGCAGGCAGTTCCAAGGACACAGCTTCTTCATTCTTCTCATCAGAGGTCGCCATTTTTGGCACCATACAAAGATCTTCAGAAGCTCAACGCTTTCACGCAAGTAAACTAAACCAACTAATCAACCAACCTCACCGACTTTTTAAATATTCATTAAATTGGATAAATAACAAATATAAATGGATGAGTTTACGTGTCCTCTCCGTCGCGTCGCATACACTAATCTCATAAAATTTTATCTTAAAACATTAAAAAATAAATAGTTTTTTTTTTTTTAACCATAAAATGAAGGACAAGAGTGGAAGCTTATAAGCTGGAATAAACCGCCACAAGGGTGGCTGAAAATAAACATCGATGCATCCCTGTGCTCATCCTCCAGTCAAGCTAAGTGTGGCGGAATCATCAGGAATGATCAAGGAGATTATGTTAAGGGCTTCACATACTCAGTCGGAGCATGCTCAGTGGACGCTGCCGAAGCCTGGGCGCTTCTCAAAGGTGTCCAACTCGCAATCTCCTTGAATATGGAGAGGGTCTGCTTCGAGAGTGATTCTATGAGTATAGTCAACGCAATTAATCACAATGGGTTGGTAGGTAATACCGCAAGGAACATAGTTCATGCATGCAACCGAGAGCTCACAAACATTGCCAACTGGGTAGTTTCCTATGCTCCTAGGGATCAAAACCGCGCTGCAGATTGTATGGCCAAACTGCGGGACTGCCCATCAGGATTGAAGATCTATGAGACCATACCGGACGAGCTATGGTCTATCCTGGAAGAAGAGAAAGTTGGGCTACCTGTTTGGAGGCAAATGGACAGCCCATCCATGTAACTTTTGGGTTTCCCCCTTCCTTAGTTTCTAAAAAAAAAATGAAGGACAAGAGTACAAGACACTAATCCAGTGAATTTTACTTTTATACAAAATGGCTAAGCTATATTTTCACAAATAAGGTTTCAAAAAATATTTTCACAAATAATGATTTTTTTTTTTTTGTTTTTTTTGAAAGAGTAATGTTAGTTTCATTTTTTCTATTAAATTATTTTTTTAGTACAATAAAAATTTAAAAGAAAAAGGACAAAAAACAGTGTATTATTGAAATTCGATTTTATATTTTAGAGACAAGAAGTTGGTTTGCTCGTGAAATAATAATTTTTTTTTGAAAGTTACTGGCTCTATTACATTGTAGTATCTGTTCATATATTTTCTCGAGGCTTGAACTCATAATCTTCCAAATGGAAGTCCAACCCGGGTACCATTAGACCACATAGTCCCGATTTTCGGATAATTTAATTTGTCACATATAAATATGTAATGTTTGCAAATTTTCAATTGTCTGATACTTTTAACTAGGACCTAGGGGTGTAAACGAGTCGAGTCGAGCCGAGCTCGAGCATGGGTTGACTCGAGCTCGATAAGCATAGTTCGACTTGAGCTCGAGCTCGGCTCAACAATTTTTCGAGCAGCTCGATTGTTCGAGCTCGATCTTGAAATCAAGTTCGAGTTCGAGCTCGAGTTCGATTTTAATCTCGAGTTTGACCTATTTGAATTCATATTTCAATTAATAATAAATATTATTTTATCCATACATAAATAATAAAAACTTTAAAAATTCAAAAGTCCAAATTTCGGTAGTGGCATATGATCTGATGCTCCTCCTTATCGGCAGAAGTGGCGTCTCCAGGGAGGCACTGAGAAATTTAGGTATCGGGTATGCAAACGCAATAGATTTAGGGTTTTCCTACTTTGCGAGTTTTAAGTATATACATACATACATACATATATATATATATATATATATATATATATATATATATATATATATATATATATATATATATATATTTATTTATTTATTTATTTATTTATTTATTTATTTATTTAATTATAACTCGCGAGCGGCTCGACGAGCCACGAGCCTAGAATATTTGAGCTCGAGCTCGGCTCGTTTACTAAACGAGCCGCTCGAACCGAGCTTTGACCGAGCGGCTTGTGAACCGCTCGCGAGCCGCTCGCCTCATTTACACCCCTACTTTTAACTTAGTTGGATAATTGACTTAATAACTATTTCGTATAAGCTTCTAAATTTGATTCTCTGTGAGAGATGTTCTATTTATTGATCTTCTTAGTTTAATCCAATAAGCTATGAGCAATCTCGACACCTTCACTTAGCGACTTATCACTACATTAAGTAGCAATTAAAATTATGTTTCAATAAATACCAACAAGAAATAGTGGGGGAAGGGGGAGCCCTGGATTGATTGGAGGGAATTACAATTTCTTCAAACCAAATAATAGAATTGTGAGTTCAATTGAAATTAGTAGAATTTGAATTGCCATTTTATGGCAAATTATGTTGTGCATCTGTGTGCACCATGCATGGTGCACACAGATGCAAAAACGACGTCGTTTTATTAAAAATGCGCGTCTCACTTAAAAAAAAAAAATCAGTTTCGATTCCCAGCAACAACATTATATTGTTCATAATTTGAACTATTTATTCAGAATCAATGAACTAAAATTTCAGAATCGATGAACTAAAATTCCAGAATCTATGAACTAAAATTCCAGAATGAATGAACTAAAAATTCATAATGAATGAACTAAAAACATCCATAATGAATGAACTAAATGTCCAGCATGAATGAAAAAAAATCAGTTTCGATTCACGTCTAAATATCCATAATCAATGAACTAAAATTCCAGAATCTATGAACTAAAATTCTAGAATGAATGAACAACATAATGCTGTTGAGGGGAATCGAAACTATTTTTTTTTTAAGTGGGATGCGCGTTTTTAATAACGACGTCGTTTTTGCATCCGTATGCACCATGCATGGTGCATACGGATGCACAGCATAACGATCCCCATTTTATCACTGTTATCTTCTCTTTTTTTTTTTTTTTTTTTTTTTTTTTCAAGACCGCTTTGTTATAAGAGTATATGTTTCATAATTTTATTACTATGTGTTCATAATTGTAAGTTCATAATGTCGGAGCTCTATGTTCATAATTCCATAACTGTACATTCATACTTCCATAACTGTACATTCATAATTCCGTAACTGTACATTCATAATTCAATAACTGTAACTTCATAATTTTCGAAGTTCTATGTTCACAATTTTAGAGCTCTATGTTCATAATTTTATCACTATATGTTTATATTGTAAGTTCATAATGTCAGAACTCTGTATTCATAATTTCATAACTGTACATTCATAATTACATAAATGTACATTCATAATTGCATAATTGTACATTCATAATTCCGTAACTGTACATTCATAATTCAAGAACTGTAAAATCATAATTTTCAAAGCTCGATGTTCACAATTTTAGAGCTCTATGTTCATAATTTTATCACTATATGTTCATAATTGTAAGTTCATAATGTCAGAGCTCTGTGTTCATAATTTTATAACTTACATTCATAATTCTATAACTGTACATTCATAATTCCATAACTGTACATTCATAATCCCATAATTGTACATTCATAATGGCACAAACGAATATGTTAACGGCGAGACAAAATCAAATTTTTTTTTAAACTGAAATGACGCGTTTTCCCTAAAAACGACGTCGTTTTGGACTCGTGTCCACAATGCATTGTGGACACGAGTCCACTGCATAATTTGCGCCATTCTATCCTACCAAACGCTCCATTGGGGTGTATTTGGAAGTGCGATAAAAGCAATTCATTACTTCAGTTGCTTTTTTAGAATGGTCTTTAGACAGAATTGCAATTGTAGTCAATAAAGATATCTTCAGCTCCAATTTAATTGTTACTACTCTAATTGAGCAAATTAAATTTGGACATTGGTTCACATAACAAAATAAACCACTAATGCGGATCTATTTTTAATATATTGCAAGTTTATTTTCAATGTAACACATTAAAAATAAATTAATAATACATTAAAAATAAACTTGTATCAAAATATAATGACCATATTAAAATTGAACTTATAGTATAGTAAAAATAAATATGCAATATAATAAAGATGAATATGCATGTTAGGACATCCACATTTGTGATTTTTTTTTAATGATGTTTGTCATATTAAAAATTTAAAGATGATTTTTTGTTGATATGGGTAGTGATTTTTTAGGTGATTTTTTCTCCAGCAATTTCATGTTGTTTTTGTGGGTTCC